TATTACTGTGGTTTTATCCGTTAGGCTGTAATTCGTGTTCAAATTTGAAAAAATGCTCGAAAAAGCAGTGTTTTTACATTTCATTGATTTTTCACATTGAAATACTAAATAACAACAATGTAAATGCTTTGAGAATCACTTTGGGCGATTCAAATTGAAAACTAATTATTGTTAATTCTGTTATTGCATCTTAGAATTAATTGCTAATTAAAGGGACGACCGGCTTTCCATCTGCCTTATAAACAGCAGACGTTAATTGGATTGAACCACATTCTGCTGCACTTTCATAACTTTATTTAAACATTCAAATTTCGAACAGCACGCAACTGCGTATTACGATTATGCAGCGACCGAGAAGTGAGGATTTCTTTCTTTATCACATGATTTACGTCACCTATGCAACCATTATTGCTCTGTTTCGTTAGAACGGTACTTGACGATATAATTATTCTATTGATTATTTATTAAAACTTTTACATTTCTTCAATTAAGGTATGCTCTTATAATTAGCATAAAATAATTACGTAAAAATGAATTGAACGTGTATGTTTGGTTGCATAACCATTGTATTTTAGAAACTAACCCTTTTCAGCAACTTATTCATTATCAAGTTAATTTATTATAATTATCGATATATTAGAGAACAAATATAGTTTATAGTAGACATTGGGTAATTAGAAAAAAACATGATAATAATTCTCCTTCAACTATTTATTTAATATGCAATCAATACATGCATAAACAAACACTCGAAGGCGTTCTTTTTTTTGTATTACAATATATGTTATAACATAAATTTACTTGTCTTCTGGTTTGGAGAAGACCAAAGTGTATCCACACTTTCCGCAGTAGTGACGGTCCTCCATGGCGGCCATGAAGACACCGGCTCCGCACTGTTCAGCTGGGCATTCCCTCCTCAGCCTGTGGATCTTTCCATTTTCGTCAACCTTTCAAGAGAGAAAACATAAAGCAATTAATATTTGAATCGAGTTGTATAATTAGTAATATTTCTTACCTTGTAAAACTTGAGGACGGCCAACTTGACCTTCTTCTTCTTGTGCTTAATCTTCTTTGGGGTAGAGTAATTCTTCTTCTTGCGTTTCTTGGCACCACCCCTGAGGCGGAGGACCAAGTGCAAAGTGGATTCCTTCTGGATGTTGTAGTCCGACAGAGTACGTCCATCCTCGAGTTGCTTACCGGCGAAGATAAGACGTTGCTGATCTGGGGGAATTCCCTCCTTGTCTTGGATCTTGGCCTTCACATTCTCGATGGTATCGGAAGGCTCGACCTCAAGGGTGATGGTCTTACCCGTCAAAGTTTTTACGAAAATCTGCATTTTCTACTGTTTAGTGGAGTCGTCAACTGCAAAAATAATCATAAACAAACATTCAATTAATACACAAGTAAATAAAATGTAAACAAAATAAAACGTTGGACTTGAAACTTGAAATAAAACTGCTTGCAATATATAAAGAACCCTTTATTTAATACAAAATAACTTATCACACTATAATTATACTAAGAGCACTGCGTTGATGCAACCGTCGTTCTCTGGGTTATTCGTAACTTGGGCAAACTTTCCCCAAACCACTTTACCAGCCTGAGTCACCAGACCCAGCTCGGAGATGTTGACTTCAAGCACTGTACCCTTCGTGATAACCCCCAGAGATGTAAACATAGGGGAACTAGGGTTCTTTTTAACTCCAATTATTGGCAGGCAGAAGGTAGCCTTCAACTCGGGATGCGTCACGTGAGCCTTCTTGAAACGCAAACCCATCGGTCTGATGAATCTTTCAAACTTGGGCGGTTTCCTGGTAAAGTCCTCCCCAACAAATGTCACTTTAGTGACCATCCTCTTCCAAGCTTTCCTCCTCGTCTTTCCAGACTTCAACACCTTGAAGACTTCACTGTCTCCCTGGGCTCTCACTTTCGGTATAGGCACATCCCATTTTCCAGCCTTTTCCTTACGCTTCTGCTTGATCATGTTGGAGAGCACCTTGGCTCTGTTCTCCACATTACGATCCAAAAGGTAAACAGGCAGAGCTCCCTCAGGAGTTTTCTCAGTCTGCTTCTTCGTCTTCTTTTCTTCATGAGCCTTGATCTTCTTTTTCATTTGGATCTTCTCATTGCGACGCTCCTTATTGTAGATCTTGGCCTTGATACCGCGAAGGGTACGCGCCTTCTTCGACCGAATCCTCGACTCGCGAGCATCGCGTTTCCTCTTTCTCTCCTCATAATCGAGCCTCCTACCGTGGAGCTTCCTGTGCCTCTCAATATACTCGTTCTGTGGCATTGCGTCTCGTTATTCTTTTGGAGAAACAATCTAAAACAGATGGAGAATAAAACTAGAATTAATCAAAGGTGGTGCATGTAGCCACATTCCGAGTTTACAACCTCCACTGAATATGACTATTTGCCACCACTAATTAAATAAGCACACCACTTACCTCACTATTCGTTACAAATAATGCAATCAAAATCAATTTATTCCTGACTTCATAGTCATATTCATTAGAGACTGAACTGCAACCATCATCTGTTGACGTTATCAAGGTTAACGTTGCAGAGATTGTAGCAGATCAAATTAATTGCTGTTAATTAAATTAGTTAAATAATTTCGACCACGTTCTAAAACGTTGTGTTAATATAACATAAGGAATATCAAGTAGCAGTGAAAACAAATATGTCCGACGCGAAAATAATAAAAAAATGGCGACCCGTAAACCCCTCGACGAGTTTGTTGATGTTTTTCAAAATCTCGTTGTTTGCAAATTAATAAATACCGGCAGATGCAAGCGCAATACCTTCTACTTTTCAGTTGCAACAAAAGTAGCCCACGATAATACAATCACGGCAAAGAGATCAAAACACAACGCGACACGATGTTAGGTTATGGGACCATGCGGTGCAGAACATACAACCGAGTTTTTCCAGCAAAAATAATGCATGAAAATCTCGAGAATCTATTAAATATCGAACATCCTACCGTTGCAGCGTCCCCAAGTACACTTATATTTATAAACAGTTGTTAAAAACTACCATAAAAACAGAAAATACTCTACGAGAACTGATTACGTACCGTTCACTCCACCATGACACGCTGTGAAAAGAACTATAGTTTGACAGAGCAGGAAATACTGCTCGATTCAGCCGCTCGGAGCGCCCTCTGCCACGAAGTTCGCAACGAACGAAATCCTTTATTCCTTGCTTATTCCCAGAAAAACTACTTTCCCTTACATTTCTATTGTTGTCGCAAGTATAGATATTGAATAAACGATGCAAATCCGTTTGGAAAAAAACCTCGGTAATCGTATAATATTCAAATGCACCGGAAATGGCGCTGCTCACAGTTGGTACTAGAAAATAATTTCAAACTCACAATTCGTATTAGATCTTTAATTCTTATGCATTCACAACTATAATTGATGATTAAAATTAGTTAACAAGACATTTAATTGATTATCTAATTAATATTGTAACCAAAATTGAAATTATAACAAAAATATAGTACTTTTGTGTTTATAAATGTTATTTATTTCATATTAACTTGTAATTAGTTTATTAATTAATAATATTAACGAGACTGTAGCAAATGAAAAGTAATTATTTGTTAATATTTTCAAGGAATAAGAAGAGAAATTGATTATTTTAGATTGGTGAAACTGTCCGTGACAGTTGATTGTATTAATTCATAACCTAGAATAAATTCAAATTTATAAATATGATCAATTTTAGTAACGGCGTTGTGGACGTCGATGTGTATAGGAAAAGGGTGCAGAGTTATTTGAATCTGGTATGATAACTAGATACATTTGAAAATTGCAATTGTTTAAATATTGTTTTTTTTCTTTTCTTGTTTTTTTCTTTTTTTTGGATCTGTAGCATTTGTATCAGGCCGCTCTGTTTTGGGCTGACAAAGTTGTTGCGCTCACTGTGAGCAATTCCAAAGACGTGTACTGGTTGGCCCAGTGCATGTTCCATTTGAAGCAGTACCACCGAGCCGCTCATCTGCTGAAGATTCAGAACTTGGACAAAACCGATATACTGTGCAACAATCTATCTGTGAGATGCATGCTGAAGGCGAATCAGTACAACGAGGCGCTGAAAATCCTGAACCTGATGGATGTGGATGAGTTCGTGCAGAATTCAGTCAGGGGCAATATGCACGATTTTGAATTATCAGTTTTGAGTCATGTGAGTTTGCTTGTACTGTATGAAGAAGTTTGTTTTTAAAAATGTGTTTTTTAGCAAATACAATCGTCTGTGCTGGTGCTTAGGGGCCAAGTGTTGGAGGCCATGGATAACAGGGGGTTGGCGTCGGAGTGCTACAGGAACGCTTTGAAATGCGATGTGTTTTGTTACGAGGCGTTCGAGAATCTTATCCAGCACAATATGCTATCAGCTAGTGAAGGTAATTTGGAATCGATGTACGAAATTGTTGTTAATTCCTGTTGATTTTTAGAGGAGGAATTATTCGATTCGCTGCCGATTTTAGAGCAGTGCAACAAGGAGGAAGCTGAAATGGTGACGATATTGTACAGGAGCAAAATGAAAAAGTACCACACGCATCTGGATGCTAAACCCATGGTGATGCCGAAGGTAGTTCTTTCGACGCCTCAGGTGTGCGGCCCGACGTTCGCCGACAGTCCGAATGTGACGCCGATGGAAAGTTCTTCGGCGGAGGGTGTCTGCAACAAGCAGGAGAAGATCACGTTGGATCACGGGGGGGAGAGCGCACCGTTGAGGAGGCTCGAGGAGAGTTTGGATTTCGTCGTGTCTCAGGCCGAGCAGCTGTATTACAATTGCGATTATCAGAGGACGCTCGAGCTGACGGAGAAGATCTTGCGGCAGGATCCGTACCACAGCGATTGTCTCCTGGTGCACATATCGTGCTTGGTCGAACTTAAGAAAAGCAACAGTAAGTTTTGTCGAGTACGAGTATTTTTGTGAAAAAACCTCTTTTTCTGCTTTCTTTAGAATTATTCACGTTGGCGCATAAACTCGTCGATCTTTATCCGGAATTGGCGATTGCCTGGTACGCGGTCGGATGCTACTACTACATAATAAATAAGAGTGATTTGGCGAGAAGGTATCTCGCGAAGGCCACCAGTTTGGACAAGCTCTTCGGACCGGCGTGGCTCGCTTTCGGACATTCCTTCGCCATCGAGAATGAGCACGATCAGGCGATGGCAGCCTACTTCAAGGCTTCTCAACTCATGAAAGGGTAACAAACTTCTTCCTCTTCACTTTTACCACTATTACTTGAGTTACGTGTTTTTTTGCAGATGCCATCTACCGTTGATGTACATAGGTTTAGAATGCGGTCTGACGAATAACGTGCAGCTGGCCGAGAAGTTCTTCCAGCAGGCGAACAGCATCGCCCCGGATGATCCCTTCGTCATCCACGAGATGGGGGTGATCGCCCTTCAGAATAACAAGTACGTAATACGCGAACGAAGCAGCAACGGAACGTAACGAGTGAGAAAAAATAGTTTTTCCGTAGCCGAGGGCCACTTCAACAAAGCGCTGAGCATACTGAACACTAGGAAGTTGACGCCCATTCCGGAGAGATGGGCACCGCTGCACAACAATTTGGGACACGCCCTCCGCAAGCAGAAGAAATACGACGAAGCCCTCGACCATCATCATCAGGTTATAACAACATCACCTTTAACTCTTAACGAATTGTAACGATGTTCATTGTAACTGTAGGCTCTGGTGCTGAATCCGAACAACGCGAGCACTTACTCGGCGATCGCGTTCGTTCACGCCCTCACGAAGAACCTGGACGAATCGGCGGATTGGTTCCATCGGGCTCTCGGTCTGAAACGCGACGACACTTTCAGCTCGACGATGCTGAACTACGTGATAGAGCACATCGCCGAGGATCAGATCGCGTATCCCGGTGCACCGGATTACATACCCGATTACGATGAACCGCAGGAGGCCGCCCTCAATGCGGATGTCGATCAGGAGGCGGAGTCTACGCGCGACGAGGAGGAGCCTACGCAATCGGGAAGCATCAATCAGACGGCGGACATGAGCATGAGCTTAGACATGGATGTGTCCGATTCGACGGCGCTTGCGAAAGATTAAACAATAATCATCATCAACAACAACAATTCAGTTTAAGCGCAACGTTATACGACAGGTTATTCCGATTCATTCAATTGTGTCATTGAGATATTTTAATTTATTTAATTTTGTGTTTAATATATACGTAAACCCTACAGAAATTAACATTCTTATTTCATTCAACATCCAACAGTTTCAGAATATTCAGTAGAGAAGATAAATAAAGTGAAGGAAGAAGGTTAAAGGATTTTTAACATCAAGCCAGACAGTTATTTTTAGAACAGTCTTGCAAAAAAAAAAAGAAAGGCGAAGAAACACAAAAGATATACAAATCAGTTCTTTTCAAGCAAAAACTATGAGCAAACGAAACCTTCTTTGCAAGAAAGATTTCGATTTTAAAATGCAACGATAGAAGGATAAGAACGTTTTCAATGTCAGATGATCGAAATGAACGAAGAAATGCATAATTTTCGTGGAAATCCCCAAATATTGATTTATGAAACGTTTCTGAAAAAAAGACTCGTAAAATTGTCCGGAGATAAAAGACAAATAAACAAGTTGATTCAACATTGTAATTATTCTCTATTGAATCTGTGACTGTTTAAACACACAACGACTTCAGCTGATCTCTAATGTTCGTTTGTTTTGCACATTTGCTCTAAATGATCTCCTCACTAATTTTCACCATTGATCACCAATCCAAGCAGTGACAGATGCACGCGTTGCTTAATCTTCGGTGTTTCTGCCATTACCTTATATGGTCATCAAACTTTTATTATTTTCGAGTCGGCTGGTCTTCTTCGTTTTTTTTTTTTGGTTTCGCGTCTGCAATTGGCGAGTGGCGCTGGTCTTGGGGCGGAGTCTGCGATGCGCGTCCTTCCTCCTCCGGAGTCCGGCAATTTTTCCAGAACCGTTCGAAGACCGGAGCGAACCGCTTCCACGCAAAGAAGACGACGACAAGTTTTAATTGAATAATTGGTTATTGTTGTTGTTGTTGTTGTTGTGGTGTTCTACAAGAAATCGGTGTTGGTGCTGAATTGTTGTTGCATCTGTGGAATGTCGAGTGAGGAAGCCCGGCCCTAGCGACGATCACCATGCCAGCCCTTCGACAACAGGTAATAAACAAAACAAAACCAAACAAATCAAAAAACACACACGTAACTAAGCGACGCGAGCGACGAAGAGGGAAGATAGGTTGCACCGCGTGGTATGTGTGGTAAGAAGGCGTTTATTAGTCTCGCTACAATTAACATACATCCGATTGTGTTGTTATTAAATTTCTTTTTTTATGCAATTTCTTCGTAGGAAAGTAACTGCCACACGCCGTTCCATTTGTTACTTCTTTCTGGTCAGCAATGATGCAACAAGGAGACGGCGATGTTTCGTAGAAAAATTTAAAATAAAATAAGAGACTAAGAGAAAGACAAACAAACCAAAAAAACTTAACGATAAGTCGAAGATAATGTAAACAGACTTAGTGGAGCTCTTTGTTCTCGGCTGGTTCGCAAATTTCTGTTTGTTTTGGGTTTCGAGATGTTTTTGGAAATTATATAAATATATCGGTAATAAAAGGCGATAGTAAGTCGCATTTTATGAGCCCACCGACCATATCCAGTGCAGACTTAATGAGTTTCAGAATTATTCTGCACCAGAATCGGAAAATACCTGTTACCTAGTTACAACTGCAAGTTAACGTTACCCAGGCTGTTACTTAGCAACAGTACAAACAAATTCTATTTTATTATGATAATTGCGTGAGCATGGCAACGATCCATCCATCGGAATTCCCCAATTGAAGATAGGGGAGGCGGCGGCCGTAGTAAATTTGTCCGCGTTTCCGCTTCTTGTTTCGCTTTATTATTTTTTTCTTCAATTTCTGTATGCACGCTCCTTGTATATGATGCGTTTAGTGGCCATTTGGCAGAGGGACAGCTATCGAACCAGACGAGGAAGCGATGGATGGGAGTAGGCCAATTGCGTTTCCAGAAGAAAACAAAGGAAATGAAGGACGACACGACATGTATTTTAGAGAGAATCGTAAACATGTCGCGATATGTTCCAATTCCGGACGATTTAATCTGCTGCAATTGCATCTTAAATTTTCTTTCTTTCAAAACGCAATTCCAATCATTCATTATACAACACACTGTACACGTTCTGATTGGATATCATTTCAGATTACAATCTACGTAACTTGGATCCAATTAATGTAATTTACCTTACAAAATATTGATGATAACAACGCATTTTAATTGTAACAATCAAATTTTAAATTCCAACAGACAGTGACAATTCAAACGCGAAAGTCAATTTGGTTACATAATCCTTCAATTTTTTATTACATTCTCTTCTCAACTTTCCACACCAATTTGATTCATTATTAATACAATTTTTGACTTATTCGTACTGTTTTTTCTTTCTCTCTATACTAGTAATAATAGTAGTGGCATACTACGTTATATTATTACAATAATTACGTTTTATTTCCGCTCAAGGAAAAGCCACAATTACAATAGGAACTTTTATACTTTTTATACATCATTCATTAATGACTTTTGAATTTGAAATGCATTTCCGGTCGATACAAATTATGAATTTAGTCTCATCAAGTTTGTTTTTAAATTTTATAGAATGGTCGTTTTCTGGGACCAGAAGGAGATCTCCAGATGAACCATCAATCGCAACCGATGCTGAACATCTTGCAGAAACACTCGATTAACTCTCTGTTCCAACAACCGTCGCTCTTCAATTTCGATGGTAAGAAATTACTTGTTATTATTAATATCAACGTTTGGAGATGGTCAAAATAACGCGCGCACACACACACAATGTGGACGATAAAAAAGTTTCAAATTTGTAATAGAAATGGAATTTCGTTTGCGCAACGTAAAAGAGAAGTGTAACATTTTTTGAAGCGCATCGCACGTTACGTAAATNTGTTGGTGTTGCTTTGATTCTAATTTGAAATGCAGACATGTAACGTGTGTTGCGTAACGACGTGCGATGCGATTGGCTGTCGCGTGCACGATTTGAATTTGAATTGTTTAATGTTTCTGTGATTGAAACATTGAAAAATTCGTTGCAAATGTGTGCGAACAATGAAGTTTCGGTCTGTGCACGGGAGATAAGAGGTCTGGAAAGAAGTTGATGGGGAAAAAAAGCTGAGCAAAAAGTATTGAAGGTTGAAGAAAAAACAAAAAACAAAAAAATGGAGATGCATGCACACACACACACTGCAAAACAAAACAAAAAAAAGTGAGGAGACGCGATCGGATTGGTTGCCGGGGTGCGAAACAGTCGCCACGTCGCCATTATTGAAATAAACGTGAACCGGACGGACGCGACTTAGCGCACTTTTGACTTAACCACTTCTTGTGCGCGAACGAACGGAAGTACCGCGAGGAAAGTTGGAGAAGATTAGAAGAAGGCAGAAGGCTCTCAACTTTTTCATATAAACCGATTTTGGAGGAATTCCGCTGGAAGGAATAGATAGAGGCGAAGCTGAAAGTTGTGGTGAAGGAGGGAGGCTGAAACAAAACCGAAGCAGAACAGTGATCGTTTTTTTTTTCTCTCTCTCTCTCGCATTTCTTCTCGTTCATTCTCTTTCGCTCTCGTTAACAGTAAAGGAAGAGAAGTGTGTGTGTTGTGTGCGGCGAGCGCGCGTTATTTTGTATAACATTCTCACAACGTCCGAAAGAGGAGAAGTAGAAGAATAAGGTGGAAAGAATGGCCGGTGAAACGATGTCCATTTCAGATCTGCTGGGTCTCAACTCGCCACGGGGTCTCCTCGGCAGTTCCTTCGGGAGCAGCTCTTCGAGCCTCTGCACCCCGCCAGCCGCAACGGCCAATTTCCAGGTTAGTTTCACCCTGAAAATATAAAACGTTTTTACTTTATTTGAGTTTATTCAAAAAAAAAAATACATATTCTCCAGATCCGCCATTTTCGGTACGTGTGCTATCGCAAAAAAAAACAAATTTCACGCGTCCTTTTTTTGCTATCTAGCACACTTCGCTATTTTTTTTGTTGTTGTTCATCATTCAAAAATTCGAATTCGCTTCCAACTTCGCGCCGCTATGTTGGTTGCCTATTGTACACAATTTAAAATTTTTGTATTATTCTCTTTTTGCAGATGAAGAACGGCGATAACAAGTTACTCAACTTCGCTTCGGTCACTTCCGGATCGATGAAGAACAACGGTCCGCTGAGCGTCGGTTCGTCTACGGGCTCCGCACCTCCGAACTTCTATCAGCGAGGAATCTTGAGGAGCACCTCTCTGAGGTTCGTGCGATCCTCACCATTCTCCCTCCTACACGTAGAATATTTAATTCACGATTCGCTACATTGTTTGGTTTTTGAATTTAGCGACTGCAGCGGAAGCAACAGTCCGGCCGTCTTGGATCAGCCACTTTTGAACACGAATTCTCGCTCGAATTCGCCTACAGAATCAGATAACAGTGCCATATCTGGAGCTAATGGCAGCCTCACCGAAATTTTGGTACATATATACATATGCTGAATGCGAATTGCATTTAATTTTATTTCGTTTTTTTTTGTTTCTTTACAGAATTCATTGACTTTGAATGAAGCGTTCGGCTGCAATTGCCTGAACGCGAACGATTTGCGCGACAAAATCGACTTGAACAACTTGCAGAACCTGCAGGCCCTGCAGGCTTTCAAATATTTGCAGCAGCCCCCCGCGTTGCTGAACACGCTGCTCAATCCCACATGCTCCTACAACACATCTCAATTGTCTGATAGATGGGAAAGGAATAACGGTCTAGGTATTGTACCGCTGCAAGACAATTTGCACCTGGACAGGGCCGCTCGCTTCCACCGGTCCGCGGCGGCCGTGTGCGACGCAACTTGTACCTGGAGCGGCGTACTACCGGTGCGCACGTCCAAGCCTATCGGTTACTCAAGTAAGGTGTTTTTGGGTGGAGTACCATGGGACGTGTCCGAGCAAATGCTGGTGCAGACCTTCAAGCAGTTCGGCCAGATCCGCGTCGAGTGGCCGGGAAAGGACAAGCAGGCGTCGCAACCGAAGGGATACGTCTACATCATCTTCGAGTCGGAGAAAAACGTTAAGGCGCTGCTGCAGGAATGCACCAAGGAGTTCCCGAACAGTGGAAATTGGTACTACAAGATCTCCTCCAAACGCATGAAGGCCAAAGAAGTACGATTAGCACAGAGCAAAAGTAGTAACTCTATTCAACTTACATGTTGTTGTTGTTGTTGTTCTCTCCGAGCAGGTTCAGGTCATCCCCTGGATTCTGAACGACTCCAATTACACCAAGTGCACATCGCAGAAACTGGATGCCAGCAAGACGGTCTTTGTTGGCGCTCTGCATGGAATGTTGAACGCGGAAGGGTTAGCTAAAATCATGAACGATCTTTTCGAAGGCGTCATTTATGCAGGTACATATTTCAAATTTACCCATCTTTCGAGTTGTGATCTAATGCTGATTCTCTTGTAGGAATCGATACCGACAAGTACAAATATCCGATCGGGTCTGGTCGTGTGACATTCAACAATCCACGCTCGTACATGAGGGCCGTTGCAGCAGCCTTCATCGAGATCAAAACTGCAAAATTCACCAAGAAGGTAATAAAAACACTATTCTGATGTGTGTGGTCAAATTGTTGCTGACCATTTCCGTATTCTACTCTCTCAGGTGCAGATCGATCCCTATCTGGAGGACACCCTCTGTTCCGTGTGCGCTGTCCAGCAAGGACCCTATTTCTGCCGCGAGATAAGCTGCTTCCAGTACTTCTGCCGCCTGTGCTGGCAGTGGCAACACAACGGTGATCTTCGTCACCACAAACCGATGATGCGCAACTCGAAGAACAGCACCATCATGGGCCTAGGCAACGTGACCCTAAACTAACCAACAAGTATGCCTAACACAATTGATTAACTATCTCTCACTACTATTTCTCTTATCAAATTTACTACATAGTGTTTAACTGTTTTGTGAGAGTTTATTATGTATTGCATATGTATAGGCATACGCAAGCCTCGTATGTGTATATATAGATACATATAATTTAAACGAGATATTTCAAAAACGACGCGACACCTTCGACTTCGAACCGTCGTTCGTGACAGGGTGTCGTCATTCTAACGAATTTTAACTCAGCTTCTTACTACGCTTCTGCCGAACGAGCGTAGCGCTTCTGAAAGTTCCTAACGAAAAACAAACAAACAAACAATACGAAACAAGTAGACGAGGAGACTTAATATGTAAAATAGAATCCATCAATCTGCAACGCCCCTAATCCTCCTCTGATGACGATTGGTGAGAAAGGGGCGTTACTTCCTCCTCTCAGACTGTTGTTCGCTTGTTCTCGATTTGTTTTACGTAAACGTTTTTTTCTTTGATTACCCACAAAGTTGGAACAGTTTCCATTATCATAGGTGAAGAAGTAGGAAAAAAAAATAAGCTATTATTATTATTAATATTAATATGTGTTTTTATCTCTATATTACTTCGCTTTCAATTTCCGGACGTTTTCGCCGCCAAACCTCCCCCCCCCTCTAGAAGAGGTGGGCAGCAGCGTGCGTGTCCGGATGAACGCGAACCGCGAGTCACGGAAATTTCATAATATATTTATATTATTATTATAACTAGGTGTTAGTTTTAAGTGTTGATATTTAAAGAAACCGGAAAAAAAAGCAAAAAAAAAATAATAATATGGAAAAAAAGTTTGGAAAATATTTTAATTACTTAATAATTGTTGCTGATGGATATTTTTTGGGTAAATTTTTTTTATACGCTATTTTTAAGATTTCTTTTACAATACAGTCTCCGCGCGAAACTGTATATTTGTATTCGGTTATTATTATTATATACATATAAAAAAAAATATTATTGAAGAAAAACGGTATGAAAATTTTGGTAGAAGATGCAAAAAAAAAGAGAACAATACTAACGTAAGAAATTCACTGTTGATGATCAGGCTACGGTTTAATGGTTCAAAGATTTTTCGGTACCTGATTTATATTTTGTTTTAATTTTTTTTGTTGTACTTTTTCTTTCTTTCTTTGTCGCGCCCATTATAATGATGATGATGATAACAACTACACATGATTGGCGCTGCTATGTATGTATGTATTTCGGCATATACATATATATATATGAAAAAGTTGATTAAGAAGGAGAAGAGGAAGGAAAGCGAACAAAAAATATATTAATAATAAACGGTTTTCAAAAATTTTAAAAATTACAAAAAAAAAAAATAATAATATTATGTAAGAGGTATTACTTACTACTTGTATGTTTTTTCTTTCGCCTTCGTTTCGTTTACTTTTGATTATTATATTCTTTTATATAAGTTCTATCCTTGATATTATAATTAAAAAAATAATGTTGATTATTATTACTACATGCATCATTTCGTCGCTCTATAATATCCTTTCGATCTCTGTTTCTAGAAAGACACGAAAGAAGTGTGTGCATTTAAAAAAATGAAATAATGAAACTCCCCCAACCATCCTTCTCTACAGATAGATCACGCCCATTCCATCGTTTTTCATTTAGTTTTAGTTTACATTTTTTTAAGTTGCGTTCCATTTTATAAGACTGTGACACCACCCATTATGTGTAACAGACCACACCTCTTACCGTTTGTTTTATCCTGATAGTTTTAATATACTCTCCTCTTTGTCTCTCTGTGTCAAGTGATCATAAAAAGAATGAGAGATCATCAGCCAAGTTACCATTGATTTCTTTTTTATCGTCACTTGAAGATGTTGATAATGTTGTTACGTGTCACGTATTGCTGCTGTTGTTGTTGTTGATGATGATCGGGCTTTTTCGGAAATGTGCTGCCTCGATCGGTCGACGCGAATTTTTAAACACGAGGCCAAATGATGATTGTGACGGATAGGTTTTAACGGATACGATCGATCGTTTTTAACAAATCGCGTGATTTCGTTTTATTAATGCAATTTCCGAAACATTCGCAGCGACGGCAGCAAACACGCAAAACACGTTACCTTTTGTTGTTTAGATTTAGATAGTTGTGAAATGTTTTTATTGTTTTTTATATGTTTGTATGCACAATGTTGTTGCAAGTGCCGTTCCCAGAATTTAAGCTCCGCCCCCACTCTCTCGGGGGCCACGCCTCTCGTTGCCGAGAGCAACCGATGTGGTGCGTGGTTACCCGAGGCTGGTTGGTCGGTTCGCTTTTCAAATAATAAACTTTTTGTTTTTATTCCCTTAGCGTTTCTCTTTAATCGAATTAGATAATAAAATAATGTTAATAATAATAATAACAATACGTTGTTGTTGCTTTTTTTGAGGACGACGAGTAGAAAAATAGTTGTTTCCATTTATTATTATTATTACTATTATTATTGTTGTTACTGTTTCATTTGCCTTTTCGCGAACAGCTGGTAGAGGCCCAAGAATGAAGAGGCGGAGGCGATGAGCCCCACCTGCCAGTTGTTCAGCTTCTCTCCCCACAGGTAACCTTTCGGCAACGTGTTTATGGCGTGCACCAGATCGAGCGACAGGCGAATGCAGGTGAGGAACTCGAACTTTTGATTCAGCAGCAACTTCTCCAGCGTTTCCCTAATATTCAAAAATATTCAAATTAGTTGGTTGCAAAAAAAAAAGGTAATTATAAAAGTCTCGCCTTTTATCTGCGACCGATCCAATGCAGTTCTTGTGCTTCTCCAAGACGGCGACGTACCTCAAATTTCTACAAAATAAAGAAATTATAATCAAATACTTAATAATAATAATACTAATATAGACCTCATTAGGCTAAAATAGATGGAGGCAACCCAGAAAACAGAACTCGCCGTATCCCAAGCCCCACCATTGTTCCCATCGATGAGCTTGTGCTCCAGCAGCCAGCTCATCTTCTCGATTGGATAATAGATTTGGTCGATGACGTTCGTGACCACCCCCAATGAAGCCATCAACTTGTCAGGCTCCTCCCCGCCCAATCCGTACTCCAAATTGTACTTGAGCATTGGCAAATCGTCGAGCAGCCTCAGGACGGCCCTCGTCCCAGACATCTTCGAGCTGAACGCCAGCAACCTTTTGGCGACCACCTCGTTCCCTGCCAAACCGCCGATCAGCTTCGTGCTATAACATAACGTCCTTAAAAACTGCATCGATTCAAGAACAAACGAAAAAAAAGAAAAAAGATTAATTGCAACTTTGATGATGATGATAATGTTGTTGTTACCTTGTCCCTGCCCTTGTACGTCTCCAACACTGCACAAATCTCATCCAACATCTTGAAAGCCATCTTCAGCTTAATTGTCTTGTCTTTTCACCAGCAAACAGCATGGAATCTCACACGTCACATATCATAACCTCGGGCAGCGTTCGAATCTATTGGATTAGAAAGTTTTTTTTCGTGTAGTTTACATTAATGAGGAGAGAGAATTTCAATAATTTATATCTAATGCAAGGTTATGTTGTTATTGTTACCTGCACTTGACAGCTCTGACTATATAATGTGGATAGTTGCGATTGTCGACACACACTTGCACAATCGTACTTTGATTCCATGATTACGTCGATAATGAATTGATAATCGATTGATTATATTTATATACACGTTCAATTACAAGCGTGAAATTGGATTAATCTTAGCAAACAAAAGCAAGAGCAAGACCGGCCCCCGATGATCTAACCAATAAAAAGTTGTAGATTGCAGCCAACTTCGGGTCGGTGCAATCAAGGTTATGTCATGACCGTTTTTGACGATGATCGGATGAGAATTTATTAGCGCAGAGAAAACAGGGAGAAATAATAATTATACACACATAAAAATAAGAGATAGATGTGCGTTTTCGAGATCGTCGGTCAGTATACAAACTTCCTTCCTTAGTCCTTTTCCTCTTGACAATTCAATTTTCATTTGTTGCTTTTAGGTTATATTTAAGAGAGAGTAGAGATACTTGAAGATTGCGAAATAAAATATGTTCAAGATCAGTAGGGCCTTGATAAGGGTCTCGAAGAGTAGTGGCGTGTTCAACAGGTTGACCTACTCGACGGCTTCGGCGGAACTGAAAAATGCAGAAACAAATCGTGTCAGCAGGTCGAGCACGAACAACATCGTCGCCGCTGCGTTCGCCTCCTTGAACATGGAGCCCCAAACTTCTGCATCCGACATCAAGACACCCTTCACCGATGGCAAGATCGAGAAGGCGAAAACCGTCGACGAACTTCTCAGCGTATCGAACGGGA